TAGCCTGGGAAAGTACAGATAAAATCTTTAATCTCTATCTCTGGGACCCACCAATGGAATTCCTAGAGCTCTGGCCCAAGGCGAGACACGTAGCTGAAGCATCTTGACTGCTCGATAAATATTTATTCCCTTGTATTTCAAGTCCCCTCTGCTCTCTGTGAGAATTCCTTGGTGTTGCGTGCCTTCCCTTGGTGTTAGTGTTATTCTTCCCATCTTCACCAACACAGATCATACCCACAGCCATGGAAGTTGACTTGATCATTTCCATGGCATTAATGCCACTCATTCTTTTGGCATGGACGAGACCTTCTCTCCATCAGTGGAACACTTTTCAATCCTTTTATTCACCCAGAATCTGAACCTCCTTCCTATATATGGTACATATTATTACCTTCTTATATTTTTGAGTGAGAGACAAAGTTTACCTTGTGATATAGAAGTTAAAAATGCAAAATTATTTTTTCTAGAGTCCCTTGTAACTAGTATATGGGCACTTAGCACAGGCTCTGCAATCTTTATGCATCTACCAGAGACTTTGGATTGAGAACTAGTGAAACAATGAGGCAGGGCCCATAAAGAATGGTCTCTGGCAGCAGAGACAGCTGGGATCAGTAGCATCCGTGTTATTATAGTACCAGTGTTATTGCCATAGCAGTGTAATCAGCAGCATCTACAGTCATTACCAGTGGGATCCAGTACAAGCCACAGTGTCCAGTACTTTGTGTCAATAATCAGTGGCTTCCAGGCTGAAAGAGTTCTGCTGCACATTAAGCCATGTGTGCTAAAGACTTCATTATAAGCTTCTTGTTTTGGACATCAATACTGCTGGTTTCTCCAGCATCACCATGGCATTTCTTTTTACAAAATCTTCAATTTTCGCTTTGATATATATCTTCATGGGAAACTTTAGAGGAAGTAAGAATGAATTTCTCTACTAAATGTGGCTCTTTCAAAATAACAGGTCTAGGAAAACACACCATTGAAAGTGACTGAGAGGTTCCTTAGATGCTAAGGGCAAGCAGAGATTATAACATTTCCTTTGCTTATATTTCAAGCAGAGAAGGCCATATTCATATATTCATGAATGTTATTCCACTGCTTCAAATTTTCAGGGCTCATTATTGAACTGAAATGGACCCAATCTCTGCCATTTCTTGGATTTTAAACTAAATTAATTAATTTAGTTTTTCTGTACTTTATTTGCTCTTTATTTTTGTATATTTTAAAGGAGTAGAAAGTTTATAACATCAATTGAAAAGATATTTGTGATATGTATGCTATATCATATATGAAAACCTGATGCCAGAAAGGCACTCAATAAAAATGAAGGCTGTTATCCTTAATCTGACATTCAGAGGCCTTCATCTTGGATCCCAACCCACCTTTCCAATCTCTTCTCTTATCACTTTCTCTTCCTCTTCCTCTCTTCCCAGTGCATTGGAGACACGAGATTTTTTAAACCATACCTATCATGCCATAAACAATTCTATACATTCACTTCTGTGTTCTCTCTGCTGGAATGGACTTCTCTCTTGTTTTCTTATTCACTTTTCAAGGCCCACCTCAGTTGTCCCAGTACTTCTTCCACTTCCTAAACAGATATATTACTCTTTTCCATGTACACCCATGGAGCTTTAATTAGAGCCCTTTCATTGCTCTAACCATATATCACAGTATATACACTTTTGATTCTGCTATTATAAATGATAAACTTCTTAAGGGCAGAAATCATATCTCACGTGTATATCCCTAATGCCTGAATCATAAGAGGTACTTCATAAATGTTTGAATGAGGCAATGAGTAAATGGTAAGAGTTGGAAACCACAAATTTGTCTTTACTTGGGAGCCACAGGGGTTGTCAACCTTATCCAAGAACTATAAGGAGTAAAGTAATATCATCATTTAGGAACTAAATTTTAAGGTCTACATATATATGCAAAATTGCCTGCATAAGACAGAATGGCTTCCAGACCATGAGAACGCCACAGAATCCAACTTGACTGTACTATTCTATGTAAAGAGAGTATTGGCCATTTAAGAGTGAATTAGCCTTAATAAGCTTAGAAAAATAAGGGTCACTGAAGTGAGACTTGATCATGACCCTTTCAAGCACTTTCCAAGAAAGAGGAAGTCACGTTTCTAGTGTTGGAGTCTCAACTGTAAGGCTTCCGTTGAGCATGATAGATACATCTTTTTTTAGTCCAATGCTATGAAGCATTCATGTCACATACTCCCTCTGTTCTCATTTATGCTCACTTTATAGCCTTTCAATTTTTATTCATTCCCATTATAAATTAAAAACTGGTTTATGATTGTGATTTGGCTTCCCAAGTGGACCCATCCACCATAGAGTTCAATGAGGACTTCCAAGGGGAAACTTCTACACCTTCAAAGCTAAAGACCATGCCCAACCATCTTTCCTTTGCATAGTGTTTTTATACCATTTCCAATTGCAAGATGGACTAATATCTATACCTAGTACATAAAATGAGTTGATGGAAAAGAAAACTCTCCCACATCTGCTTAAGGTGATTTCTATCCATAAGCATAGATGAAATTTTTATCATTGTTCAATCCTCTAAAAGTCCTGGGAGTTAACTTGGTTAAGGAGTTATATGACCTCAGAACACTGCCTAAGTTTATGAGTCTGAGTTCATTAGGCTTTTGGGTTGCAAGGAACAAAGACTGACTCAGAATGCCTCAAGAAAGGTTGGTTTGTTATAAGGATACAGGTGACACTTAAGAGGAAGGGCTGTCACAATAACCCAGAAAAGTTTGGGGCAAGGGAGAGTCAAGAACCAAGCATGAGAGCATGAAGACTGTGATTTGCCCTGATATTTTTCTGTGTTGTGTTCCACCACGAATGGACTTAAGCTCTCTCTCTATTCTACCTTTCTGTGTTTTCACATCTGTTCTTGCTTAGACCACTTTCTGAATTCTCTCTCTCTAAATATACAAATTTCCAGAGAGAGAAAATAAGATTCAACCTCAAGCTACTGTCACTCATGTTCAAGCAGAGTTTTTGCAACATGCCTCCTCTGATACTGCTGGCCAGCCCATAGGCCAGCTTCCCTAGGGTCAGGTGCTCATCCTATACAATCATCTGGGTGAGGCAGTGGTTAGAACCTGTTTACCTATGTCTCAGGCACACAGAAGATCTGAGCATGAGGCAGTTCTCCTCAGAAAAGACTGTGGGTTGGCAGGAACCTGTTGCTTAGTAGAGCCAGATAATCCATAGAGCCAGAATACCCAAATGTAGGTATGTGAATGGGCTACATCAGAATCTCCCAGGATCAATTTAAAAATACAGAACTCTGGGTTCACTCCAGATCTACTGAATTAAAATCTCGAGGTGGAGGATTAGGAAGAGAGGAAAAAAACATATATATCCCCTTTTTTCTCCCCAAGTGACTATTGCTTTGAAATTGTAAGGGAACAAAGCTATGTGAAGGGTGAGAAGGGTCAGACTCAAGTTTAGACAGTCTTCTTCTTGATTCTTTAATAAATTTGTAGAGGAATTCTTATGCACTCTAAGTGGAAGTATGGATGAAAGCACACTTGAAAAGTAGAAGTCCCGAAGCAAAGTAGAGTCCTCCAAAGAAATAAAATATAAGGAATGTTTTTCCCTATAGTTCCCAGAATTTACACAAATGACAAGTTAAGAGAAAAGCAAGAACTAATGTTAAATTCAAACACCATGACCTTTTGGTGTGGCCTCATAAAAGAGGTGAGAATTTGCTTCCCTTTTTTCTTACCTATAAAAGTATATTCGGTGAATTATCAGAAGCAATATGTAATTTTTTGAAAATGCTAACTGAATTATAAAATTAAATTTTCAGAAAATATTTTAAGAAGATTTTTTTATTTTAATGAGAGAAAGCTAATAAACTATTTTGTGATGGTTTAAAGGAAGAGTTGTTTAATATAAATGTATTTTAATAATTAATCACCATAAAAAATAAGCACTTACTTCTGGGTATTATTATCTTTATTACAAAACAAGTATTTTATGTTGAGGTAACATTTCAAAGGACATTTGGCAAAAATCAATTGAATTCAATATACACAATTTTGTTATGTGCAACATATGTAAAGAACTCAGAGGACAGTTTTTCTAGCATTGCACATAGATTAATTTTAGAAAAAAATAGCTAAAAGTTATCTATTCAAAGAGGAATTTCTTTCTCCCACTTTCTTGTTCCAATCCTTCACATCATTGCCCACAGTCAATGAGGTGATGTTCATGGGAGTTCCACAAAAAAAGTCAAAAATGATAAATTAGTTGAAAAAAAAAATTTTGTTTATCTAAAACATCTCACTGGTTCAGAACTTGAAAGTGCTCCCACAAACTAAATATTGAATAATATAGGATTTACTAATGCTTATTCCAAGAATAAATAGAATTCTCTTGTCTTTGATGGAGAAATCCTATGCAACGCTCTGCTGTGAAGCCCTCCCTTTCCTGATTCTCCAAGCCAACGTTGGTTACCCTCTTCTATGCTCTCATGTATTTTGCTCATACCTTTATTATAGAACTCTCCACGTGGGATTGTAATGATTCTCATTTCCCTCGTGTGTATTCCTCTTTACCTTTTTAGCTTTATTTATCTCTCTGTAAGCTCCTCAGGAGCAAGAAATAAGTCTTAAGCTTCTTTATATCCCCAGCACCTACCACAGTGCCTGGTACATAATAGAACCTCAATAACTATTTGTTAGATTTGTGCATAGGAACTATGTCATTTTTGAAGCTGTAATGCACATCTTTCCTCGCTTCCAGTCTCACTGAGTATGTTCTGGTGTCATTACACGTTATTTAAACCTCTGTGGTTGGTGACACCTTAGAAACAAGTATAATGTCTAGCATTTCCTTTCAGAAAAGAAATGGCCCTCCAGTTATTCTTCTGATAAAAAAATTAATAAATTATAGTTATAATTATTTCCATACTCTCCAACCCCCAAGACTTCTTTACATGAGGGCCCCATCTTAGGAAAGCTGATGCTAATAGCCATCTTGGCAGTCATTGTCATCTTGATCCCCAATGGGTTTGTTGTGATAAGCATCAACTGTTAATTTTCTGCTTTCTATCTCAGTGTTTTTTGACTGGCCATCTTCCTCACTGCTTGACTTACTCTCAGTAGAGTTGCTATCTTCTTGTGATTTGCTGCTGTCCTGAGAATCACTACTATCATCCTCCTCAGACTTGGTGTCCTGCTCAGACTGGCTTTCCTCACTCTGGCTCTCTGCAGAGGCACTGTGAGACTGAAGGCCTTCCTGGCTAGAACTGTTCTCCTCCTCAGTGGACTCTGGGCTTTCCTCTGAGTATTTGAGGCTCTCATTGGATTCACTGTCTGCTTGTTCCTCTTGGGATTTGCTTTCTGAACTGGAGGGTTTACTCAAGCTGCCCTCCTCACTGGAGTCGCTATCTTCCTGACCTTCTTCTGAGTGACTTGAGGTATCATCTGGATTATCACCCCTGGACTTACTTACTACCTCTTCCTGAGATTCACTACTGGTTTCTTGAGATGGTAAGTCAAGCTCTTGGCTAGACTCACTGCTGGGATCCTGTACATTTTGACTGTCTTTCTGGGACTGAATCTCCTCATTATCTTCTTGAGATTCACTCTTGCTGTTTTCTCTGGATTGGCTGAGACCAACTTCTTTGGAGTTAGTATTTTCTCTGGAGTCACTCTTGACTTCTTCCATTGTGTGGCTATTGTCAAGGTCACCTGTGTCATCTTCCACAGAAATGCGGGAGTTTTTGAAAAATTTTCTGCCAGGATACTCCACTGATTGCCTCTCACCTGAATTCTGAGGGCTTGCTTGCTCATCACTGTTCTCTTTTGATTCTTTTGATTTGACACTGGCACTGTTCACTCTGGAGTGGCTTCTCTCACTCTTGATGGTGTCTGGATCATCGCTCTGCATTCCTTCATCATCAAACTCAGAGCCATCCCCATGGCTACTATCCCCATCACTGCCGCCTCCCATCCAGTGCTCCTCACTCTCGCTCTCTTGAATGGGGTCATCTCCCTCAGGCCTACTGTTCACGTCGTCCTCATTGTCAAGGTCCCTGCTCTCACTGGTGGCATCTTGGGCACTGTCTTCCCCTTGAGAGGCACTATCTTCCCTGGATTGTGTAGTGTCAGCTGAGTCCTCATCACTTCTGAGTTTGGAGTTTCTTCCTTGACTCTCTTCAGGTCCTGGGCCATTGTCATCATCACCCAAAGTGTCATCTCCACTGTCATCTTCATCATCATCTTTATCATCTCCTTCTTTTCCTCCATTCCTAGAGATGTCATCAGCTGGTCTATGAGCATACTGATGGTCATCGAAGCCCAGGCCCTCCTCTGATTCAGTGCTGTCACTGGAGTCTTCATTTGCCTGGAGTTTGGGGTTAACAGATATAGTCAGTACTTCAGGAGGTGATATAGAGGGTGTTATCTAGTATCCATCAAGGTTCTTTCTCCTTTCTTCTTCCTATGTCCCTCACATAACCCATGGTCAATTTTACTGCTGAATAACATCTCTTCCCTGAGGTTAAAAGGGAAGGAAGAGGAGTTGAAACTCCAAGTCATTCCATTTTATATTAGTACTATTCACTCATGCTGTAAAAATTTCTCAAAAAGTTTTGTTAAAATCACATTGATGAAACTCAAATCATATGGTAAATATGATTCCTTCAAGAAAACTCTCAGAATTTTTTTTCTTTTTTTTTTTTTGTAAACTAAAGAGTTGAACTATAATGCTCACTCATCAAATTGCTTGGTTTAAAACAGAGTTTTTAAAAATATTGGGTGATTTTAAAATGACCCACACATTTTTTTCTATTCAACTTGGGATAAAAAAAAAGTTATTAGGGCAAGAGTATAAAATCTTCAGCTAAAAAGAAAGTAAAATATTGTAGTAAGGTCTATATCTCACCCAAACTGTGTTTACACCTCATTTTCCCAGGTAGAGAGTTGTCCGTAGAAGGCTCAGCTAAAAGACTGCAACTAGTGTAACCACCAAGTTCTAAGTGTGAGCTCAGACAGATTATCCCTATAAGTAAAACAATGGGATGCTCTACACAGATAAAGGACAGTGAGTCATTGTCGTGTTCTGAAAAATCTACTCTCTTTCTCATACTCTAAAACAGTATTCTCACCATTTTTTTTTCTTTTTCCACGTATTCCTACTGATCATAGTCTGAGTTTCCAATTGGGATTATGGGATAAGGAGATCTCTTTCCATCTCTAGAGTTTACACTGGTAGGCTGAAACCGAGCACCTGTTTAGCTTTCCATATGTCAGTAGGCATGTACGCCATCCTTCTCAGGCAGACTGTTTCCCTTATTTGAACTCAGAGATCACTGAGGTAATAAGCTGTAGCATCCCCAGAAAAGAGCCTTTCTCCATTTCTATGCTGATAAATTTCTAGACTGTTCCTCTAACGGACCTTTAGTAAATAGTGGTAAAAAGCTAAATAATTCATCTTCTAGCTGTGGTTGAGTATAGAATGCAACATGGATCAAAGCTTTGGAGAAAAACCTGGTTCCTGGAACCTCTGGAGCCCCACAGGGTTTAGTTTGGTCAAATGATAGGACAGCTAAGAAAGTGACGACATTTAGTGTTAGAGAAATGAAGAGAAAGCAGAAGAAGGAGAAGAAAGAGAAGGAGAAGAAGAAAGAGAAGGGTGAGGGGAAGGGAAATGGGAGAGGGAGGAGAAGCAGAAAGAAAAAAAAAATTTTATTAAAGGGATGTAAGCTAAGTCAGCTCTTTTCCCTCCCAGAGCCAAGGATGAGACTATTTCACTGAAAGTTCCTCAGGGGTCTCCTATTCTCCCCTCCAACAGGATCCTTGGACATAGAAGAGGTTTCCAGGCCCAGCAGGCACTTCACGTCGTCTTATCCAGAACTCTTTTCTCTGTCTGATGTGAACTGCTCTAATTGTAAAAGCAACATTTTAGATTAATGAATGAGCCGTTACTTGTCTAACAGTCTATAACCATGTGTTTGTGTGTGTGTGTGTGTGTGTGTGTGTGTGTATTCTTTTTAACTAGGGTGACATTTAGGGCCACAGTGTCTATAATCTGGCCCCAGTGATAAATATGTCCACATCTGAATTCTCCCACTCATTTCTCCCTTATTTTATGGGACTATTTAGTCAGCATAAGCAATGGTTAGAAAATATTATATTTAGAACAGTTGCCAGGTAATTTAATCTAGCATCATTTCCTTCAATTTCTAAATAACCTGAAAAGTTTAAAAAGGACTGTTTAATTACCTGTTCCTCTGAGCTAACTTTACTTTCTTCTGATGACTCACTGCTCTCCTAAAAGGAAAAAAAAAAGTGTGTTATTTAGTAATTCCCAAGGAAAGGAAAAAAATATGATACACATCAATTGCTCGTGGTTTGGATTTACTACTTTCTAAATGGCCTAAGGTGATGAGATGAGAGTTAAAGTTACTTTATGAGATGTTTATGACAAAAAATAAATGAGATCATTACCAAAGGAGGTGTTTGTGTCTGAGCCAAACGACCCTATAAAAAATGAAGGAAAAAAAAAAGAGTTATTCCTGCACAGGAACCGCGTCATCACAAAATTTAGAAAAATTTTAGGGGATTTTTTAAGTTTCTTGATATATATTTCATATTTACAAGAGTAATAACATTTATGATGAAATGGCTAAAAAATGAATGTGAGATGACTAATGGCCTGAAAAAAATCTTGTGGTATGGAAAACCTAGAAGATTTTTGTATTTCTTATACTTAAAGAAAAATATGCTTTCTTTGAAACTGGTTGTTCATACAACCCAGAGAAAACATAACATAGGGAAAATAGCATGGGAACTCAGAATCCAGATTTAAGTCTCAATTAGCTCATTGGTATTGGTTTTAACCCTGAAAAATAACCATCTTGTTGTTAGCAGTGAAATTCATGTGTTCCAGGAAAGCCCTAACTCTCAGGTGACTGCAATGATTGTGACTCTGTGAATTTGAACAGTTCACTTCACCTGCCTGATATCACTTTCTTATAAATTAAGAATATTGGCAACCACCGTGCTTATTCCACAGGGCTGCTGTGAGGATGAAATCGGCTAATGCCTATGGAAGCATCTTGAGAACTATTCAATATGATATAAACTAAAAAAAATGATCCATTTTGAAAACATCCACTTTATAAAATTCAACAGTAGACAAAACTGAATGGAGAAAGCCATTAAACCTTCTTTGAGTCACATAAGGTCACCTGAATAAAAAGAAATGCTAAATCTGAAACTTAATTAGTCAGAGTTCTAATTTATTTCACTTTCTTTAATCTTACAAGAACTCACTGCTTGAGACTCTGGTTCCCTTTCTCCCTCTACTCTCCTTCCCCGTGAGCAAAGTAAAATTTCCAAGTCCCCGTGGCTTGAAGTTGCTGAGAGATGGGTGTAAAGACCCAAGGTGCAAAGTAGAGCAGGGTGACACTGCTATCAACAAGTTTTCAACAAGCCTCTCAGCAATGCAAGGTTGGAGTTATTTCCTCAGAGGAAGAAGCTGTAATCACTTTAAATCTTTGCCCTGTGAGGCTACAGGCAGGCACAATGGCAGACTACTCCAGTCAGTTATCACTTGGAATTAAGGGGTAGTCAGTCGGGAGCAAGACATTGGTATTTTTCTCATGCCAACACTGGACTTGAGAACATAGAACATTTGTGGTACTCCTAGAGTCTCTGGTTGAATGAGACAAAGGATCTACAGTGGCTGGTTTTAAATTAACAAGCCTTATAACATCTCTGATGCAAGTTCATGCAATGTCTTTTCCAGCCTCAGGCAGGGGCAGAACCCTATCTCAAGCCTCTGTCATTATCTTCCCATCACTAAAGCATGTGTCCAAGTTGTATTATCTTCCCATCACTAAAGCATTGTGTCCAAGTTGTATCATATGCAAAAGCCCGTAGGAAATAAAGTAATGAACAAAAACACTGACTTAACATAATATTTTAACCCTTACTTGTAGTTCCACTCTTGAGAACCCACTGACTTCCTAGCTCAGGTCCCTTCCTGAGAAGGATGAAACGCCCTGGTAAAGAATGTGGATTCTGAAGCCAGAGTGACCTGGGTTCAAAGTCTGACTCTAACAATTATTAACCATATAACGCAGACAGGGTAGGTTTCACTCACTGTCTTCAGGGTTCCCATTTGTAAAATGAGAATAAAATGTAACACCTAATTCACTGGGGCGTTGTGAAGATTGAGAAAGTTAATACATGTAAACCACGTAAAACCATGCCTGGCAATGATTCTTGAGTTATTGAGAGCTAATAATCATTGGATTATTCAGAGTCAATAGTCAATTAACATTAGCTTTCATAGCAAAGACTCTAGTACCCTCTCATTTTTCTTTCTTTTCTCACCTTCTACGACTTGACCTCCTGCCTAACCAGACATCTGGTAAACATATTTATAGTCCTAATCCTCTGAGGGCAGTCTTGGTTCATTGTCACCCAACCCCTTGCGCTACTATACACATCCATTATGAAAATAAAGCTAAAAGAGAAAATGCTTCCTCATCAAATTATGCTATTAACTTGGAGGTGAAGCATTATATGAACTAAGTTTTTTTAATATGAACTAGAAATTATAGCTCTTACTACTTATGTTATAGGTTATTAATGTGTTCATTAAATCATTAGCAGTTTCAACATTTGCAATGGAGCTAATTTGGTTATATTAATAATATATTAAAATTAAAATATTTCAAAAAATCTTATTTCTACTCACCTTCCATTCTTCAGAGCTCTTGGATTCAGTGTTTTGATACCTGGCTACCTAGAAAATTTAGTACATATGGTCAGCCCACAGAGAAATTTCCAAGGCTGCAGCTATTAATACACTACTTTCTTAGGAGCAGTAGTAGTTGAATTTTAGCAAGCATCAGAATCACCTGGAGACCTGTCAAAACATGGATCTTGAGCCCCATCCCTAGAGAGTCTGGTTCAGTGGGTCTGAGGTAACACTCAAGAATTTACATTTCTAACAAGGTCCTAGTTGACATTGATGTTGCTGGTCTAGGGATGACACTTTGAGAACCACTGCTTGTGAGGAAGAAAAATGAGAATCATAGCTGTATGAATGGCAACTGAACAGAATAAGGAATAACTCAGATGATATTTTAAAGAACACAGTTTATTAAGAAACTATTATATTTTTTCTGACTGAAATATATCTAGCCACCTTGGCTCATAGCCAATGAAAATTGTAAAGTTTTAGGTATAAAAGAATGTTTTCATGTATTTCTATCACGATACTTACTGGAAGAGCACAGGACAATCCCCAAAGAAGCATAAGCAGGATACTGGTCTTCATAGCTGGGTGTGACACCTCTACCTGTGATGAAGGACAGATGTTTTTCTCCATACTAAAAAGGTATAGGAGCTTCAATTTTTTAACAGTTCCTCCCTATTTAAAAAACAACTCATCCAAATATCCATCAACTGACAAATGGATAAATAAAATATACTATGTCTATACAATGGAATATTAGTCATCCATGAAAAGAAATGAAGTACTAATATATGCTGCAAAGTAAAGGAAACTTAAAAACATTATACTGAAGATGAACACAAAAGACCACATATTGTATAATTCCACTCACATGAAATGTTAGAAATAAACAAATCTATAGAAACAGAGTAGATAAGTGTTTGCTCAAGGCTGGAGAAGATGGGAAGTTGGGGGTGACAGCTAAGGAGTGAATTTTAGAGGTGATGAAAATGTTCTAAAATTATTTTGATAAAGGATGCACAACTCTGTGAATATGTTAAAAACAATGAACTGTGAAATAGGTAAAGTATAAACGTGAATCGTATCTCAATAAAGCTGTTTTTAAAATACCTCACACCTAAGAGATAAATTGAAAATTTTTCAATGAAGAGCTCGAGAAACACTTCTTCACCAACCCATAAAATATGATAAATGGAGGAAAAAGTAGAGAAAAAGGAATAGAGAAATTTCTAATCTTTCACTTTCATGATAATTATGTAGCTTAGTGTGGCAGAGCAACCTGGCTAATACATTCCCCCAAAAAACTAAATGTATTGATACCAATGATAGGCGGTGGGCATTTGTACACACACACACACACACACACACACACACACACACACACACTACATAACCTCATAATAATGTCTAGATAAAATAGATTGGTTTTGCTTTTTTTTTTTCCTTGATCTGTAAGAGATGCACGATGGCAGCTTTCATATTACAGCTCCAGAAAGCTCTTAATAGCTACTGTGCTACATTTAGTCATACATAACACATGGTTATGCTAAATTCTTTTAAGTGTCATTCACAGTACTGAAGGTTCTCAGGAAGATTAGAGGTTTGGGAAGCACTTGTGAATCATGTAAAAAGAAATAGGCCAAATCAAACTGTATTTTCCTGTAGGGTGGCTTCATTTCACACCTCAAGAACTAGTGATTTGGAAAACAATTTGTTCTATATCTAAAAATTGATGTACTAGATGCTAATGTAAAAAGTTACTGAAATGATTGAAAGGAAAATAACTTGCCCTGTACTAGTAAAACCCTGTGGCTGCCCTAATAACTGGTCGGATAAACTTCTATATATTTTGTGAAAAATCCTGCAAGTTTATTGCAGACTTCAATTTTGTCAATTTGTTTCTTTAAATGTTAGATGTATACTATACTAGTGACAAAAAAATCTAAGCCAGAGATTCTCAACTCTGGCTGTACATTAGCATCACCTGGGGAGAAATAAAGACATACCAATGCATGAATCCCACTGCACAGTAACAGATCAGGTCACTGGGGGTGAGAACAGGCATGAGCTTGTTTTTAAGGTACTCTTAATGATTTTAACCCTTGATCTAAGAAATAAGCATACATTGCTCAATAATGTCTGAATATGCTGAATAATATCTGAAATACTGGGCTTGTGAAGTCATTTAATCTTTTCTTTTGTAATTTATTCAAGAAAAAATTGAAATCCTAAGAAAAGGAAGCTGAGAATGGTCCTCATCTCAACTTTCATACAGCTCCAATGGTACACAGAGCCTCTTATTTTATATCATGAGCATCATCTCTCTTCAACATTGCCATTCTTAGTTTGTGTTATTTTCTTTATTCTAATTAGGCATAGTTCATATCAATCCTTGTTCTGGTATTATTTAAATGTCTTTTTCAAATTCTTTGCCTAATATCAACAAAGCAAGCATATGAAAATGCTCAACTCAACCTTAAACAAACCTAATTCAACAAGATGTTACTTCTGAAGGAAACCAGAATATCTCATCCCAAAATATTCCTCTTTGAATGACATAAAAATTGTTTTGAGCTGCAGGCACTTGAGAAACAGCAGATGAAAGAAATGATCTCTAATCCTCCTTTCTTTCTGAAAGCAGGAGGTAAAACTCCCATGTAAAAGTTACCTTCTCTGTACCAGAGGGAAGGAAGGCATTCTTATCACCAGAGACAGAGTGGAGGTTAAGAGAAATTCGCACAAACAAACTTTGTTAAACTAACTCATATCTTCCTAGATAACCTCACAATTTACTGCCCCTAGCCCAAACCCCTTTGTCTTGTTAATTCTTCACAAATGTATTGTTTCTTTGTTTAAAAGATATAAACGCTTTCTGCTCTGGTCACTTTTGGTATTCATTCTCTTGTGAAGGTTCCCTGTGCATGCAAAAATTTTAATAACACTTGTATGTTTTTCTCCTGTTTACCTGTCTTAGGTCAGTTTAATTCTTAGGCCCAAGAGAAGACCCTAAGAATGGAGAAATGTTTTTCCTCTTCTACACTTCCCTTTAGTTCCCACAATCGAAATTTTTTCTTAAGTTCTTAGGTTCATTTTTTAAGGAAAGGAAAGTTTTCCTCAAATATGATACTCTCAGAATAACTGCATGCCAATGGTTTTGGCTTCTTGATCAAATGAAAAAACCAGGCTGTTCACCATTTTAATTTTCAAAGTGAAATATGAATAGTGTGGTAATCTCATGATGCTCTGAAAACTAGCAAATATTCTAGTCTTGATAAAAGGCCAATGAATACTGAGTTCTCCTCTTATATTTTCTTTTGCTTCTTTTTTTTAATCTAAACAACAACAACAAAATGAGATTTTCTACACCAATGACTATCGTGTTTTCATGAAGGAAGTGTGTGCTCCCAGTGTTTGTTTCTTAGGGATGGAAAATTATGCAACATAACGGAGATGCACTAACTTGCTCATGTGCTAGAAATACCATTTAGCACCCTGACCTAAAGTAATAATTTTTCAAATGGTCTGATGAACTAAAATAGAATATACTCCGGGGTCCTGAGAGAGTCGATATTGCCTCCCAAAGAATATAGTCTGCCATCAAGCATTTAAAAAGTCAGATCTTAAACCCTCGTTTAGATTTTTAATTCATATTTTTGATTAAAATAATTACATTTTTCTGAAGCGTATTTCCAAATAAGAGCTCTAAACTTTTATATACCCTTTAGCTACCACCCTAAAAAGAGTAGAAGCACATATGCAGTAGTCTTATTTTGAGTAATAAATAAGCAAAATAGCTACGAGCCTGAAAGATTTGAGCCCAGAACCCCAAGTTCTTCGGTGATTGATAAATGTCATTTGTACATTGTACATGCTGTCATTCTACAATAAGAATGTGTAACAAAAGAAAATAAACTCAGTTCGAGTTCCACTTGTTTGGAAGGCAGTGTATGTATGTTTTAGAGACTTTCAACCTTTATCAATTGTTTTCTCAGAGCTGAAAATATCTAAAAATTTAAAATCTGGAGAAGGGAACTACAGTTTCTTCTCTCTCTGGTTACCCCGGAGTATAGCCAGAACTTCTTGGTACTCTCAAGTAAGAAAACTCGTATTCTTAAAACTTGTATTATATTCACTTGTAAAGTATATCTTCTTTTACCGAAATGAGAAAGATTGGCCAAAAGAAGGAAATAAGACCTTGAAATATCATAGGCTCAATTTATCATGCTTAATTTGTTTATTTTTGACTTAGTGTTGTTTTTCTTAATAATACTAATGAGGAGTCTATCCATTTATTGGCAGTCAACAAATATTCATGGAGAACATCCTATGTGCCAGACACTGGTTCTAGGTGCTGAGTGTATAGCAGTGTATAATAATGATGATAACAAGCTGATCTTAAAAAGTAAAATTACCCAGAACTCAACTAACTAGAACATCCATTATTTAGAATGTTTCATTATTTCTTTTTAAAAAGAAAGTCTAATTTTCCCAAGACATGAATTCTATCAGGAATTCAGAGAACCAAACAAATAAATCAATGAAATTTTCCAATTTTTCCAATTGTAATTGTCTTGAGGTCGATTACAATCAACTCCATGTTATATGCCTTCAACCACACTAAAATAACTCTTAGGAGTCCCCAAATTAAATATAGATTTGTAAAGTCTCTAAGCATCTGAAGCACATTGGTTCACATCATCATTTTGGGATAGGTAAATGGAATAATGCCCTTTGGAAAACTGTTTATTTATTCCCATGTTTTAATCAACCAGATCAAAGTAGGATAGTCTACTTGGGCCTCAGTGAAAGAGAAAGTATGGTTCACCAAAGATTATTTCTCCTGAAAAAGACAGGGTTCTAGAAGTATTGCTACTACACATGGGATCTGCTAGATGTCACACAGAATACGTTGCCTGACCACAGCTCCCACTCTCTGCTATGGAAGACAGACATTTCCATTATAGATAAAGAAACAAAATTAATGCAGCAAATAAAAATACATATGGACAGGAGTATATATAATCTTAAGTCTTCTACATTAGAAAATGTTTTAAAAAGACAATTGTATTCAAAATTTTATGAATTCTGACTATATGCAAGGCATTGTGTTAACTTGAATATCCAGCTAAATAATACAAAAGCATTATAATTATCGCACCCTTGGTTTATTTCAGTGGTCTTAACATTTTTTTTCCAATTACTCAGTTTATAATAAATATTATTTTATGCTGTCTAGACGAATAGCATTAAATGTTTTGTTTTGTTTTGTTTTTTTTAATTTAAAAGACCATGTTTTAAAAGTCCAGCCAATCTAGTTTAGATTCTTTCATAATGTCCTATAGGCCATGATCACTATACCCATGAAACCTAAACGTAAAAGTTTTATTTGTTTTCCTGATTAAAGCTACACTTTGAAATGACTTTCTATCTGCCTCTTGTTCTGTAACCTTCCTTTTAAGAAGTACTACGCAGAGATCAAATTAAAGTACTACCGAGAAAAATACCTGACTCTAATGACTTAACATGTCATTTTAATATCATTATTTACTGTGGTATAACCATCAGGTACAAAAATGAGAATC